ATTCCAGCTTGCAGGACTGGCCTAGGGTAATTTTTAGAGGGGTTTTAATTACATTTTAATTGGACAAAGTTTAATATTTCTTTTAATTAATTTTAAATTTGTATTGTTATTTATGTATTTTAACTGATTGTCAGCCGCCCTGAGTCCGCGAGGAGAAGGGCGGGATATAAATCCAAATATAAATAAATAAATAAATAAAAATAAAATAATGATAAAGATAATGAAAAACATGATGAGGATAGACTCAAAGAAGCTAAATAGGCTAGATCGACAAGAAAGTTAGTGGAAAGAGAGACAAGAGAAGAAGGTGAGATATTATCACAGGCCATCGGGTCGACATTCATCATGGTCCAGAATCAACATGGCGTGGCTGTCAGCAGATTTAAATATGGAAGTGGAAAACATTACAATTGATAAGAACTTTTGGGCAGATCATAACCCAGTCAGAATTAGATGGAGAGGACAAAAGAAATTAAGGAGATGGACTTTGAAAAGAGCAATTTTAAAACATAAAGAATTTAAATTGAAAATGGAAGACCAAATGGGTCTGTTCTTCCAGATGAACAAAAAGGAAGATACAAACTGCCAAAATTTATGGGACACAGCCAAAGCCTACATGAGAGGTGTTGCAATTGCCTATATGGCCAGGGAAAATAAAATTAAATTACAGCAACAAAGAAATCTAGAAGAAGAACTTAGTAGAGCTGAGGGAAAACTACAAAATGAACCACAAAGATGCGACTTGAAACAACAAATAGACCTAATTAAACACAAGATGAATACCATTGAAAAGGAAGAACTGGCGCAGCAAATAAAACGCACTAAGCAAAACTTCTTCGAATATGCTAACAAACCGGGGAGATGGTTGGCTTACAGAATAAAGAAACATAATGATAAAAAAGGATTAGTAAACTATACAATGAAGAGGGTGACATTGAAATGGTCTTACTTCCTTTCTTTTAGTACCGAATACTCTAGATATTCTTTAATATGCTTCTACTTCTTGCCTTTTTGTTTCTATTATATGCTTTTATAAACGTTTATCGACTAGATGGTTTTCAGGGTCTTCTCTAGTTTTTATACAACTTGTTTCTGATAACACCTCGAGAATTATCAGATGCAATTAAGAAACAAAACAACAACAAAGCCCCAGGTCCTGACAGTTTACCAGTAGAAATATATAAAATTCTACAAGAATCTTTAGGTCCAATATTAATAGAACTATTCAATGAAGTCCTAAAAAATGCGAAAATACCGGCCTCATGGGAAGAAGCAACTATTACTTTGATTCCCAAGGAAAACTCAGATTCGGCGTTTATTAAAAATTATAGACCTATTTCATTATTAAACTCGGACCATAATGGCAGAGAGACTTGAAAGATTCTTAGTAGAATTTATATATACAGACCAAAATGGCTTTTTGCCCAAAAGATATATAAGAAATAATGTCAGACTTGTGTTAGATGTATTGTAATATTATGAGGTTCATAATGAAAAACAAATGGGATTAATTTTTCTCGATGCGCAAAAAGCATTTGATAATGTTAAATGGGACTTTATGTTTAACCAACTGGTGTATATGGACTTTGGGGAGAATTTCATAAATATGTTTAAAGCAATCTATTCCAAACAGGTAGCCAGAGTAATAATTAATGGGGAAACAACTGAAAGTTTTCAAATCCAAAAAGGCACAAGGCAAGGTTGTCCACTATCCCCGCTATTGTTTGTACTTTCCCTGGAGGTATTAACTAGAATAATTCGGAAAGATGAGCAAATCAAAGAATTGGAGATTAAGAAAGAAATATTTAAAATGCAAGCCTTTGCAGACAACCTCGTCTTTATAATTGAAGAGCCCCTACATTCAGGGACAAGGCTAATGGAAATACTGGGTGAATATGGCGAGATAGCAGGCCTAAAGATAAATAAAGAAAAAACTAAAATGCTTGTTAAGAATATGACTAGAGCACAGAAAGACGAATTAGTTGATAGATTAGGCATCCAGACTACAAAGAAAATAAGATATTTAGGGATACAATTAACAGCTAGATGTGCCACACTTAAAGGAGACAATTATGATAAATTAATGGAAGTCAGATTAAAATTGATTTAGATAGGTGGATAAACCTACAGCTCTCCTTTATGGGAAGAATCGCTGCAATCAAAATGAACGTGCTACCCAAAATACTATTTTTGTTTCAATGCATACCGATCAAATTAGATAAGGAATTTTTTTGAAATTTTAACCGAATCATACTCAAATTTATTTGGCAAGGGAAAAAAGCAAGGATTAAGTTAAAATTATTGCAAGATTCTAAGGAGAGGAGCAGATTCGGTCTCCAGGATTTGGAAAAATACTACCAGGCTACAATATTAATATGGGTATGGGATTGGATACAATTAAAAAATAGGAGACTATTAAGATTGGAAGGCCATGATATGCAGATTGGGTGGCACGCCATATTGTGGGATGAGAAATACAAGGTTTACCAGTACTTCCGGAGGCATTATATTAGACGAGCGTTAATAGATATGTGGGCTAGAATCAGGCAACAAAATTATAGGCAAATTCCGAATTGGATTTCAACATTGGAAATGTACACACATCCAATGTTCATACAACTAGGGAAAGTAATGACGTATAAAAATATATTAGACAAGAGAGGAGAATTGAAATCAAGGAAAAATCTTCAGGAAGAAGGGATAGAACTGGAATGGTGGGCATATCTCCAATTGCAATCAAGATATAGGAAAGATAAAAAAGATTGGGGTATAAAAACAGAATTGACAGAGTTAGAACAAATATTATTAGGAATTGAAGAGTAAAATGATCAAAAGAATATATCACTACCTTCTAGAGCAGGCAATGTATGAAGAGCATGTTAAGGAAACTATGTTAATGTGGAGTAGGGATTTCGGCTTCAATATTGAACTACATATCTGGCAAGAACTGTGGGAAAGAAACAGGAAACTTACTCTAGCCACTTCGTATAAGGAAAACCTCTATAAGATGTTTTAGAGATGGCATTTCCCACCCACGAGGTTAGCCAAAATGGGCCCAAATCTTTCACCTTTATGCTAGAAATGTAAAACAGCAATAGGGACCTATTACCACATGTGGTGGGAATGTCCTAAAGCTCGGGATTATTGGAATAGGATAAGAAAATGGTTGAAAGAAATATTAAAGTTGGAGATAGAGCTAAAACCGGAACTTTTTTATTGGGCATAATACAGATAAATATAACAAGGGAATAGTTTACTTGATGTAGCACATCTTGACTGCCGCTAGATTGGCTTTTGCACAAAAATGGAAGAACAAAGAAACTCCCATAGATGAAGAGATATTGCATAAAATACTATCTTGTGCGGAAATAGACAGGCTCACGATGGAACTGAAAGATAAAAGCGGATCAGAATATTTTGAAATCTGGGACAAATTGTACCTTTGGTGCGAATCGAGGAGGACTGTTGGGGTTATAGATTAGCGATAAGATAGAAATGTATATATTCCTAGGTTAGCAAATAGAGAAAATGTATTTAGTATTGTATAAAAAGGTTATATATATTCATAGAGATAAGGAATTGAATTTAAAAGGAGAAATAATTTGACAGAAATGTTCAAACTGGAATGTTACGTCATGTCCAATGTTTTCTTTCTTTTTTTAATTGTATTATAAATAAAAAACTTTTTTTAAAAAAAGAACTCCAAATGTCCATTACATGGCAGCAGTGAGATACAGTAAATACTAAATGAGGCCCAATTTCGTATACTACAATAAACTATGTAATACTGTTCTAGTACAGTGTTCACTGTGCAATAGATTTAACCAGTCAATATTTAAGAATATTTATTTAAGATAAGGAATTCACTGGAAATTGGTAGATTTGTCTTTGTCTCCCAGAATGACACGATAGTGCAATGTTTGTCAACCTTTGCAACTTTAAGATATATAGAGTTCAACTCCCAGCATTCCTCAGCCAGGGAGTTGAGTCCACCAGCTTAAAGTTGCCAAGATTGAGACCCTGAGCTAAGGGGGGGGGGTACAAATCAAATCAATCAATAAATAAATTCAGAACAAATGAAAGGCATGGGATTGGAAGAGAGATCTTTTTATGTAAGTGTTTAAGGAACAGAAAAGTGATTAATTGGAAAAGAGATTATTTGTAGGCTTTGTCTAAGAAGAAAACTCTCTTTTAGCTCATTATCTACATCTCATTTTTAAAAAACCCTCAAAACCTACATCAGACATGTCAAACACAAGGCCCGGTGGCCGGATGCGGCCCACAAAGTGGTTTCATGTGGTCCACGAAACCATCCTGGAAATAGTAAGGGAACGGCCCCCGCTGCCTTGGTCCTGGCCCAGGTCAGCCGGAAGCCAATGTACAATTTTGTGGTGGCCATCTTGGCACTTGCCCCAGTGGACCATGCCTTGGCACTTGCCCCGGTCCCACCCCTTTCTGCCAGAGACCTTCAGATCTGTCCCACTCCTGCCCAAGCCCCCCATAGGCACCCTTGACGCAAATGATGTAGAACTGGCCACGCCCACCAAGTAGGCCACACCCACTCTATCCATGCCCACCCAGTAGGCTGCACCCACTCTGGCCACACCCACCCACCCTCCAAGGGCAACTGCAATGTTGATGCGGCCCTCAGTGAAATTGAGTTTGACACTCCTGACCTACATAATCAATTTTCTTTGTTTCTTAACCGGTGCTGCCCCACCTATCGTTTATTTTCCTTAATATCTATGTATTCTTTGAAGTGAATACAGAGTACAAGAATAAATAAACCCAAAGAAATACATACATATGTATTAGTGTAGCCCAAACCTGGTTCATTGAAAGAAACCAATGACTTTGAAGATGCAGCATAATTTTATTTCCATGCATGCAAGCAAGCAGTAATACAGTATGGTGCTGTGACTTGAATCAAAATGACAGAGAAGAGACAGTCAATCATTTGCAATGCTTAAGATTTCTGCCATCACCCTTTTCCCTCTCCAATCTGAACCAATTTGAAGACACACGTGGGTGGTGGTTACCTTGTACTACCACATTATACACAAACATACCCTCTATTCTCAAGTTAATATTGAACTATAATTAACAGTCTTTGAAAATGCATAGATGAGGAAACATATATCAGCCATTAACAGCAGTACAAAACCACATCATTGAGTGCTGTGTCATCACCACTGCCTTGATTTGCCTCCACCTTTGTTTGGATCCCACATACACCAGTTGAGCGACAGCGATTGCTCCATGGGCCAAAATCACCCCACTGCTCGCCATTGCCCATCAGGATTTGACCTGAACTGCAGGTGAACTGGATGTTGTTAGCTGCTGTATCATCACCTTTTCCTTGATGTGGTTCCACTCTCAGAGAAAAAGAAACCAGGTAGCCTGAGCGGCAGTACTGTGGTACGGTCCAGGTTCCCCACCTGACAAAAAAAAAGAGGTAAAGATGGATATGCAGCTCTTTGGTGTCTAGATTAAGCCCTTGTCATCAGGCCACTAGAATCAGGCATAATGGCTAAAACCTTGGACTAGGAACCAGTTGAACTCTATGTCTGACTATTAAAATTCATTAACTCTGGGCCAATAATTGACTTTCATTGGGCTGTTATAGGGAAAAAAAATACAAGGAAAGAGGATCTGGTGGCTGCTGCCATAAGCTCCTAGGAAAGACCACTCCCAATCCATGTCACATTCAGAAGCCATTAGAGCACAGACTCCTTATTCCAGAAATTGCATTATTGTAAGCACCATTTCCTTCTATAACAGTTGAATGAAAGAATTACCCACTAGTGAAAAAGTGAATTATTATTCAGCTAGTGAGTCCCTGGTGGAAATTCTGTCCTTCATTTTCTTACTAGAAATCTAAGGTTTTATCTCAGGTTACATTAAATATGGTGTTCCACAAAAAAATAGAGTGCTCTCTCTGGTTGCCATGTGGCCCTTCCCCATGCTTTTATTTGGGGAAAGAGGATTTTTCAATAAATAAAATTGGAACAACATCTCATAGGCCCAGTGTTGCCCTAATCCTGAATCGAGGCATTTTGATTGCTGAGACTTCATTTGCAATGAACCTGCCAAATAGATAAAAGGATAAATAATAGAGATTTACCTTCAGTCTTTAATACAATAACAAAAATACTCCCTGGCATGTGACTGAATTGACTGGGATTTGATTTTTAAAGAGCTATCTCCAGAATTCAAGTATATGACATTAAAAATAATCACACTTCTGACCTTCATAAACAGTCCCTGTTGCATAAAAAGAAAAGTGTGTGGGAGACTAAAATCAACAAAGGGGTGTTTGGGGCATGAATGAGTGTCAGGAAAGAGCAAAGGTTCGAGATAGATTTGCTGTGGCCCACAAAATATTAGTAGCTGTTTTGGGACCTCTCAGGAATAAATCTCCATCCATGTCTCAGCTGCTGATTCAGAGAGATCATTGAACAACAGTGCCTGCAAGCCAGCATTACTGATTCCAGTGCATCCCCTTCTACAGTAAACTAAGGATCAGTCATCTCCTCTCCCATTCTTGATGACAAGAAAATAAAATATGACAAGAAAGTCAGTTACTCACGGTCCAACTCTAGACTCAATTTTTCTGCCATCGGTACAGTACAAGCGGATTCCATTCAGAGCTGTATCATCACGTTTCCCTTGAGTTGATTCTACCTAAGAAAATAAGACTGATAAAGTTCAAGATCACCCCTTCTCCCCTTGGGGTCCTTTAGTCTTCAATTTTGAGAATTTTCAACATTTACCCATCGATATAGGACAATGAATTGGATCAAAACTAGATCTGCCGCTCAATGCCTTTCTTTGATTATAGAATCAAAAAGTGTTAAGCATCAAGAGACATCTTTTTGCCTTTCTTAAAAGTCAAAGTGAAAAACTGAAGAACTATTTTCAAGGGAATAGTCAGAAGTAAAGGAGCATCTGAAAAGTAAGTTTTTACCTTTAGGGCGAAGCCATTAGCATAGCCGTAAGAGCAAAACTCCCTTGAGCCCCAGGTACCCCAGGGACCCCCATTTGGTACAGTGAGCTTATCGTTGTAATTTCGGGCTTCCGTATTCCACAGGCAGCAGGAGATGGTCAGGAGAAGAGCGGTGCTGGCAGAAAGATCCATGGGAAAGGAAACCAGTCTGCCTCTTCAATCAGAAATGTCTTCAGAATTTGCAGCCTCCTAGAAACCAGGAATCATTTATAAAGTGTCTGCAGTACCACCCTCATGAAATCATGCTTTTCAATTCATTTGTTGTGTACTTTTGGATCAGCCTTAATCTCTGGAAACTGCCTGGACTATATTCTGTATTTTTCTTGGCAAGATTTCAGAAGTGATTTGGCACTGCTTCCTTCTTCCTAGAGCTGAGAAAGAGGGACTGGCCCAAGGTCACCCAGTTTGGCTTTGTACCTAAGATATGACTAGAGCACCAGCCAGTCTCCAGCCTGGTGTCTTAACCACTATATCAAATGTGGGGCCAATGATGTGTGGCAGCAGCCGCAGCCCACCAGACTCTTAGCCAGTACACTTTGGGGTTCTGCAGCTCACACAGAGCAAGCTCTGCGATTGCTGGGCTGGCCTTCCAAGCAGTAGGCAGAGGCAGAGGCTCAGGGGGAGGCATGTGATCTGGCCTGCCAGATGTGACAGGCGGCCACCCGCTCACATGCTCCATCCCACCATGTCTTTGCTTGCCCATGGCTGTGCAGCCAGGACAGGGCAGGCAGCCATGCAGTTGCCTGGCACATCCAGTGGGTTGGATTGCATGCCTCCCCCCACACACCTCTGCTTCTGCCTGCTGCCAGTGTCGCCACCATGGGGCGAGGCGAGGTGAGGCAAGGCAAGGCGAGGTGAGGCACGTAGCAGGGCAGGGATGGTGCCAAGCCATGGCCCCTGTGTGCTCAGCTCTCACCATCAACCTCATCCTCCAGCTCGTGCGCACACACAGGACAAGCCACCCACCTGCTACTCCCCCTGCAACGGTCCTGGTGAATGGGAAGGGTGGGAAACCTCCATCACCAAGAGGCAACCAGGACTCCCCTCTCTGCTCTGCCCCGCCCAAACCTAGTCCTGGAGCTGCTACACGGGCCCCACAGCCACACACTTCAGGTCCCCAAAGACAGGCCACACCGCACTGCCACCTGTCTTGCCTTGCCTTGCCTCACAGCAGTGGCATCAGCAGCAGCAGCCCTGTCCATCAGGAGCCTTGCTGCCCCTCAGCACCCCTCCAGTCCAGGAAGCCCAGCCCAGGCAAGGAGAGCGAGCACAGCAGCAGCAGCCTCGAGGAGGAGGCAAGCACGGCTG